CCTTGGTTTCCCTGTACGGAGGACTTTCCACTCACGGGATACCTCAGTTGTAGAGAAGTAATCCCAAATCCAATCGGTAGTCGGTGCTGGGCGAGGTTTCTTGATCTTCCGGGTAAAGGTTTGTGAGGCAGATTCATGAGGTGAAATCTCTGAGAAGGCTAGAGATTCTTGATCGGTAGAGGGAGAATTGAATTGCCATGGCGATTGTGAAAAAACTGAGATATATCAGACTCAGTGATTTGGTCTGATGGTAGAAGTCCTTCAGGGGAATCAGGGCCACCATTAAGCAATTCATAGTCAACTCGTGCCTGCCTTCGTGTAGTTATTTGCAGGTCCTCATTGCCTTTGTATGCCATAATGATGAGAGTAATCAGGATGCTTGGAAGTTGGAAGTTGGAAGTAGGGGGGTAGCGGGTGTGTAGTTGGAACCTGGAAGGCAGCAGGATTTTAGAAAAATTTTCATGGTAGTACCTATTAATTATACAAGTAATATCGGTATACTACCGATAATTATCGGTAGACAATTTTGTGAGCCGATACGATAACCGATAATTTTTTGAAGCTATTTGTAGTAGCCGATACGATACCCGATATGGAGAAATCCTGCCGATATCGTATCGGGAACACCCCTACAGACAAAACGACGGTACAGATTCAGAAGAACACTCGAGAGGAGGTGATGTGGCTTAATTGCCGATCGCCGTGGCGCCGATCTGCATTATGGCTCCTGGTGCGCGTGGCGCCAGCCTACGGAGGTTAATAGGGATCACGAGTGCAAGAATGACAAATGGTGGCTTTTGTCGGGCAGAATTCCCGCTTGGCCGACTTAGAGGTAGTGAGAATAATTGTGACTAAGCACTCACCGACAGTCGGTCCCCTCCTGTCAGTGAGCCAATGCCTAAACACAAACCAATGCCTAAACACAAAAAATTCAACTATTCAATTTCAAACCTAATTTCCTCCCAACATATCATCTGGATCTACCCATTTAAATAGCTCACTATTTTCATCAATATAATCTCTCTCTCCTGATGCCTCTTCTTTTTCTTTGAGAGCTTGTTGGGCGCGATACCAATAGTCTCGAATTCTTGCATTTCCGATCTCACGACAGATCTCAACTCTGTTTTCGTTCGCAGCACGTCGATGAACTCTGATATTGCCCGCAATTGATGATAATGGGGATTTTGAAGCTCCTTTTATAATACGTCGTGATTTTTTAATCGGAATTCTGTGTTTTTGCATCCTTTTGATCGTTTGTTTTGCAAGGTTCAGATCTTGAAGCGCCTGTTTACCTCCACGAATAGCACGTTTTACATGCTTTTGGAGTTTTGAAACGTCTGGTTCATCATTTTCGAGGATTGTTTCGAGTTTATCCTCAATTTTTGACCATCTGTGAGGTGTATTTGGTGGTGAATTCGTCTGTGAACTTGGGATTTCGGCTTCGGGGGAGGGCGTATGACCATAAATTTCAATCACTGGTTCATCTTCCCACCCAGGATCAATTTGATCAGGAACAAGTTTTGGATCCCAAGGCCAAATGCCAGTATCCGCAAATGCTGATTTGATAGTTTGCGATTTGAATGTGTCTTTGCGGACTGTTTTGATCATTCGAAAAAAATGCCGTTTATCATTGACATCGCCACCCCAGCGTTCAATCTCATTGTTCTTCCGCCGAAAACGCTGTTTAAGAACTGAGAATGGTTTACCGTCAAGAGGTTGACATCGATGTGTCATTTTTGGAATAAACCAATAAGGAATGATGTTAAAACTTTGACAGATATGCTCGAATTCCGGGGTTCCATGAGAACCATGATTGTCCATAAGTAGAACTCTAGGTCTACCTTTGGTAACTCGCTTTTTCGTGACGAAATGGAAGTCCAATAGCCATTGAATTGCAGTTGTATCGTCTGTCCAGCCTTTAGAAGTTGGTTTAATAACCCGGTAATTGGCTATATTATCGTCGTCTTCGAACCAGTCTTCCATATGCTCAGAACCGCGAATCAAGAACCAAGGATGCATAACCCAGCCATCAGCTGAAATACATTCAATGCCAGTAATATTCTGACCAATTCCACCGGTTCCAATAGTCTCATTTTGGCGGGTAGACACGACATTTTCCTTTGTTCCAATGCCTAGTTGAAAGCCAGTTTCATCCCAATTATATAATTCATTGGCTTGGATCTTATTCTTTTTGAGAAAATCACCAAAAACCTCATACCAATGAATTAATTCACCGTGAGATTCAGCCTCGATTCTCGCTTTTTCTATAGGTTTTTGGGTTCGGAGGGTAATATGGGGTGGTAAACGTTGGATAAATTGATATCCGTACATTTTACTAACCCGTCGGTCGGAACCGCAGTATTGTAAAATGCGATTTGCAGCATCCTCAATATCAAAAGCATTAGGTGGTGTATAGACCGAATTAAGGAGCTCGATCCAATGAATCAAAGACTTCTCTTGCGACTCATTTAATGCTTTATTGGTAGCTGCACGCCCTTTTTTACTCGGTCGGCCCTCATTTCGGTTTCGCAGCTTCCACTTTGACACGTTAAAATGGGAGGCTGCAGACTTGATACTCTTAAATTGACCAGAATTATAGGCTTCAAGGGCATTTGAGAGCAAGATCTCTTCTTTTTCGGTAGAAAACGGCATTGTTTTGGTGGAGAGAATTGGGTTTGAAATTGAATAGTTGAATTTTTTGTGTTTAGGCATTGGTTTGTGTTTAGGCATTGGCTCACTGACAGGAGGGGACCGACTGTCGGTGAGTGCTTAGTCACAATTATTGGGCTTCTACCTTAGGCCCATAGCCTACCAGTGGGCCTAATGCCAGGCCCAAAACCCGCCCCATTTATGGGCTGGGGTGGGTTGGGCTATGGGCTTTGTGGGCCGGTGCGGAGGTCTAATCTTAACCGACGCCCAGCCCGGGACAATCACAATCATTAGGATTCCACCTAGAGTTCCCGTCCATAGAGTTGTATCTAGAACCTAGACCAGCAGATGAACCCGACTCGGCATCCGTATCTATAGAGAGATATACCGGAAATTGACTAATAAAATATCAAAAGAAAGAAAAAGAAGAAGAAAGAGAAAAAGAGAGAGATGGGTGTAAAAGGAACCCATCTTGTTGAAGGGGTTTAAGAATGTTCTTGGCAGTGCCTCAGGTACTAAAATGGGACCCTCGACTGAATTTGACCCTGCTCTGTAGGAATGCACTAAAAAGGTGCGCCTTTTTGGCGGAGCGGTGAAATACCGCATTTTCCTACCCAACGGTTACTGCTTCCCAAGCTTAGGTTGGGAGCATGTATGCCTAACTTGCACGTACCAAGAATCCCAAATTTCCCTGCCCGAAACAGCGGTCAACTCTCAGGGGTTCATGAGAGTTGGATTATTTACAGTAGTATCTTTGCTGCCCGAACTTGAGGGAACCCCGGAGAGAGCTAAAGAGAGAAGTTGGAGATGCATTTAATAGCGTATCGAGCCTGCTGGGAGGCTCAAAACAAGGAGAGAAAGGTAAACCAGACACCGTCTCGCGAGCCAGGACCGTTAATACCGTGCTGGACTTCGCCGAGGCGTCACAACGGTTTCGGAGTCACGCGCCACCGGGGCAGCCTAACAATGGGGACGGCACTTAATTACGATAGGCCGTGACGAGGCTCTAAGTCCATGTCAGGAAGTGGATCATTCTATTTGTACATACTTGGATACATACAAAATGACGTATCCCAGGAGCTTTGGTATTATCTCTACACCCGAGAAAAAGAAAGATAGGCGGTCAGCATTAGCCAGCCAATCAAATAAAATATAGGTTGAGAAATGGAAATGCTACCGTCTGTGAATTGAGATGTATCCTAGGAGTATTCGTATCATCCAGGGACTGGCCAATGGTATATCGCAACTGGTGGTTCTGATTGGTCAACTAACCCTTTTGCTAGTGACTACTCCATATGATAATAGACATACCCCTTGATCACTCGCTCCATCACTTCGATTCATCACTTCGATTCATCACTTCGATTCATCACTTCCCTCCATCACCATCGTTTTTTTTTGTTTTTCTCCTGTCATGGCCCGGCCTGCCAAACGAAAGCTCTCTCGCAAACCTCGCAAACATTATAAAGACCGAACATATGGAGCAGACTGATCGATATTTCGACCCCCTGCGCACTATCCTTTTGACTTCAAGCTGTCGTCAACAAATCGTGACCTCCAGCTTTTGGCCTTGATCATCCTTGACTGAAAGATCTAATGAAGGGCCAGCTTGCGTGGTTGTGGTACTTGAAAGGGAAGTAATTGAACGGGCGGATTTCGAAACTTAAAGTAACATCGTGTTAGCATACAGTCAATGAAGACAAGGAGGCTACCGAGATAAAACATACTTTTTTTAGAATTTGGAGGCTCAGCGTTGACATCCATCTTGAACATATGATACACCAACTTGTAAGAATTGGGATTAGATCATTAGTTGACTTAGCTGCATGCCAAGAGAGTAGACATCGCTTGAGTAGGGATTTTTGGAGAAGCTTTTCCTTTGAGGGTCGGGCGCGGAGGTAGCTTCATCCAGCAGTATGATTTGATTGGAAATCGACTTGGCTTTTTGTATACAAGTGCAGTGAGCTTTCCGACGATGGGGCATTGTTCCTGTTCTGCGCCGGCCTCTGAACGCAAACGGCTTCCACTAAAACTTGCATGCAGATATAAACCATATCAAATTAAACAAAACCCTAATATAAAAAAAAATCAAGCAGACCCCCATTTGTACCGGCGGCTGTCAAGATGACGCCCAAGTTTTTATATCACAGAAAAATTAAAATGTAACGAAGAAAAACAATAGCAACAAGAGCAACTCCCCTGACAGAGCCTTATGATAAGCCCTAAGTTTGTTGACCGGTGCGATCACTCATACCCGTGTCCCATTTTCACGCTGAACATGAGTCAAACATTCGTGACAAGAACTTCACACCCTGTTAGTCATTTAGACGGCATGAGGGATAGCATCCCGGTTAGGACTCCGTGCGTAAAAACAGAGATCTCTGGTGGATGGTGTCCATGTTGGGTAAGTGGGCATGGCGATGGGAAACTGGGTCGTTCATTGACAGCCGGGGCATACCCTGACTAGATACCGGTGTAGCGTAGTGTACAGGGCTGAAGATGTTCTGAGGGAAAGACGGTGTCCAGTTGTCGTAGTGACCGGTTACTCCTGGAGTGGAGTTTGGGTAGGTTTGAGCGGTGTAGTCGAAAGCTAAGGCTGAGGCGTTGTGCGGGCTGATCATCTCTGCTGTCATGGGAGTGCTGAGCATGGACTCCGACGATGAATCGGAGTATTGCTGAGGCTTGGCGTAGGAGGGAGGGTCATGGGCAGGATTTTGGAAGTTGAGAGGCTCCGCCTTAGAGAGCCTGCCTGGGAGGGAACAGGCTGATGGGATACTGTCATTAGGTGTGTTCAAGGAGGTAGATGCTTGCTCGAATGGTGGGATGGGGTTCATTAATCCTAGGTTGATGTGCTCGGGCTCCTCAGTAGCCACTGAGGTGGCGGAGTCGTCTTCTTTATCACCCTCAGGGCTAGGGCCGCGGCTCGTGATGTAGACGACCATGTTGGCGTCGACTTCACCTCGTTCGAAACGCTCCTCCATCTTACGAACCCGGAGGATCTTGTAGATGATCTCGACATTGGATGGGTGCTTCAAGCTCCGCTTAGTGTCACCAGCAACATCCTTAAGCTTATCGGCAGTAATGCCGTAAGGACCGAGTTTGCGGATAATGTGAAGCAAGAGCCCAATGCGGTCTGTTGGAAATAAAGTAAATAGGTAGGTCAACAATCAAGGCCGTAGGGAAATCATACACTCTTTTCTCAAGTGGTCAGGCTCCTTGTGCATAACACCGAGAGGCCACCACTCGGGCTTGGTCTTTTCTGGGTCACCAGTAGTACCGGGGGCGGATCCTGGTGGTTTGCCACCGTTGTAAGGGTGTCGGACCTGCTTCCGAGGCTCGATAAATTTGATGAATGCCTTGGCAACCGTACGGCAGTTCAGTTGTTGAAAGTGCTGTAACGCACGCTCATAATAGGCCATAACATTCTGGGTATCTCCAATGCGAAGGGGAACCATGTCGGTAGACCCGCTAGGGAGGTCCTCGCTATCAGTGTCCTGCTCAGTCAGGCGGTCGTCGACGGAAGGAGCAAGAGGATTGCCTTTGCGACGTTTGACTTGACGAGGGGATGTGTCGGTTGTCTCTATATATGTGTATTAGCATATATATACCGGTCTTGGGGTCTAGAACTTTGACATACGGAGAACTGGGGCATTGTAGCCGATACGTTCACCTAGAATCTCGAGAAAGTTCTGGCGGACTTCTGGGGTGAACACAGTGGAGTTTTGCTCTCGAATAGAAGATGATTCAATAATCTCAAGCTTACCATCACGGTCAAGGTAAATCATGGCAAAATGAGCGTAAGGAGGACGGAATGATGAGCAGGAGTTGGTCATTACTGGCTAAACCGGATGTCAGTCAGAAGGATTCCAAACCTGTCCATGGAGGAAAATATACAGCAACATTGCCCAATTTTAGGGTACTTTCGTGGGGAGAGGCGGATCTCTTCATGGCTCCGCTTGTTGATTTATTGTAAACCCTTGTGGCGGTTATAGAAATGTATAGCTCTGGGAACGCAGCAGTCTTGGGAAGGATGCGGTTGCACTTCCAGGGAGAGAGAGATTTATCTCTATAGGTAGTGCTGATTGAGAATGGGGTCGCGATTCTTGTGAAGAAGTTGCTACCAATGCTGTGGGGTTGCATTCAGCCAAATACTCCTAAGTATCTTTGGCAGCACCAGTCCGTTCCTGGAAGAGGGTGTTCACTGACACCCAACGGCGAAAAGGCCGGTACAGGAACGGGTAGGACAAAGACTAGCATTCCGACAACTAGGATCCAAACAAGCTCTGGTAGACAGAACTAGAAGAATATTGGCCGGATATACTCACAGTTCTAGTTGAGAATGTGGGGTGTCTCAATGGGGATGGGATGCTGATAAATGCAGCATAGTGCCTGTTCGTAACCGAAATACAGGGACAATAGAGAGCCACGACGTTTTGTGTTCCTAAGTAAACGGAAGGTGATACTTGGAATTGGGGCAGATGGGAATGAAATAATTTGCAGGAAGAGGTTGATCAAGTGCCGTGGCCTTATTTATATAAATGAGGTTGAGGGTGTAGAAAAAGCAAAGAAAATAAGAAGTAGGTGTGCAAGCCTTTTCAGTATAAGGATTTAATGGTGAATGACAAAAGGACAATTTTAATAAAAGCAGCACCATCGATTCAGGATAGATGACCCTAAATTAGAATCCATCCTTGATCGTATACATGCAGCAAGATTGACATGCAGTGCAGTAGCTTAGACTTGGGGACCTGATCCAGGATCCCTGTTCCATTATTTGTGGATCACAGGTAAATGTATACCGTTCCTTTTCGTGTTCTTGATCTTCGGATCTCAGCACCAAGGTGCCCCGGCACTAGCACTCCACTAAGTAAATGAATACACATTTCCCCATTCTCGCGGGCCTATCAAAGTGCGGTTCGTGCATGGGCTAACATACTGGATCCTGGGAGATGACTCGCCGATCAAATGCCATTGTTTTCTTTTTTCATCCCTGTCAAGAGCTTGTTGCTGTCGTCCATCTCGGTTCATTGACAGCTACCTACTCCGGGGTGATGAGCTGAAAACAGTGGGTTTTGAAATTATAGTCCTCGGCTTCAGTTGATTATATTGAAAAACCGTTAGTAACTGTCCTACGGCGGGTTAGTGGCAGTACCTTTTGACGTCGGGGACCTTTTGCAACAGCCCAATAATACATTCGCCATCTAGGTCTGTGCTAAAAGTCCAGGGCAGCTAGCATTGGCCAATGACAGATGTATTACCTTTTTGGCGGGTAATGTAGATCACTGTCAATTTGTTGCACATGCGACATCAAGCAGTAACACCAACGAAAGGTGTATGAAGAATTGACATCAAGGGTCGTCCCAGCGGAGACCAGAAACGCCATTGATTACAGCGCAAGCACAGATCCGCCGAAGGGAAGAGACGTCATACGTCGATGCTTAGACGCTGAGAAGAAATGGGGCGATTGGATATCACTTGCATGAACCCAACTTTGGCTCCCTCCACCGCTTATGGATCCGACCACTTGTCCACTGCTCCGACTGGGCAGTTTTGCTATTCCCCTCTTGACCACTTGTCCACTTGACCACTTGTCCCCTCGACTACTCGTCCATGTTAAGATAAGTGATAGTAAGGTTGATTCTTATTCACTTATTTACAGAAGAGGGGTAGCCCGTCTTTATATCTCCGACCCTAATCCCATCCATAAGCTTAGCCGCAGTGATATTCAACACTCCCACTCGATGGCAACCGTCACCAAGGGAGCCAATGACCATTCATCACGGTTGCGGCGGGCCCCATTAAAACCTTTAAAAACCCCTTTTTAGGGAAAAGAAGGAAAGGGTACCCTTGCAGCTCAGTCTCTGCTCAAGGCCAGTAAGGTGTGGTCATCACTCAATACCAAGTCCTCTCCGAAACCATTCAAATCGTTGTCGTGCAAGAGGTTTGGTGAACCCATCGGCAATTTGTTCGGTAGTTGGAACATACTGCAATTCTACCGTTCCAGTGTCTTGCACCTCTCCTTGCCACTTGCGTTGGATTTCCATATGCTTCGTGCGGGAATGGTATTGCGGGTTCGAGGACAGGGCGATGGCTCCTTGGTTGTCACCACAAATGATCGTTGCAGTTTTTCCTTGGCTCATGTTTAACTCATTGAGGAGTCTTCTCAACCAGATTGCTTCTTTGGTTGCTTGTGTCTGGCCTAGGAATTCAGCTTCACAGGTCGAGAGGGCAACGACGCTTTGGCGCTTCGATTGCCAACTGATTGCTCCACTCCCGATATTGAAAAGGTATCCAGCTGTTGAACGTCTAGTGTCGCGACATCCACCCCAATCTGCGTCTGTAAAGCCTTTCAGCATCTGGGGCTGACCCTTGTACGTGAGCCTGAGGCTTTTTGTGCCGTTGAGATACCGTAGGATGCGTCGAGCAAGTTTCTGGTGTTGTGGCCCAGGATTCGCTAGATGCCTGCTTGCCATAGAGACGGCATACGCGACGTCCCCCCTAGTCCCGAGCATAATGTACATCAGAGATCCGACAATGCGTTGGTATATGATTCTTTGATCTGGAGGACAGCTGTATCCTGGGTTATTCTCTGGAAGTGGTGAGGTTTCTATCGGTGTGCTGACGGGAGCGCCGTTGCTGATTCCAAACTGGTGAGCGACCTTGTCAATATACGCTTCTTGACTTAGGTATAGTATCCTGTTTTGACGGTCTCGCTGGACAGACATCCCGAGATAGTAGCTGCATGGTCCTAGATCTGTCATTTGAAAACGGTTTCTGAGGCTCCGCTTGATCTTCTTTATTTCCGCAATGCTTGGCCCCACGATCAGGAGGTCATCGACGTACACCGCGATGTACATATTGCTCCGGACGAAGATCCCAAGATCAGCGCTGATTGGCTCAAAGCCGAGATTTCGTAGGAAATTTGTAAGGGTCTGGTACCAGATCCGAGGAGCTTGTTTTAGGCCATAGAGTGCCTTTCGAAGTTTGCAGACCCTCGATGTGCCGTCGGTCATGTGGTGAGGTTGTTCGACGTAGATCTCGTGGTCTATGTACCCGTACAGGAAAGCCGTTTTGACATCCATTTGCTCGATCTCTAGATCTAGGGCCGCTCCGATTGCGAATAGAGCTTTGTAGCTCATTGGCTTGACAACAGAGGCAAAAGTTTCGTCATAGTCGATACCCTCTTCTTGTGTAAAGCCTCTCACTACCCATCTGCTTTTGTAGCGGATGACTTCGCCATGCGGTCCTCGTTTGAGTTTGTATACCCATTTTCCACTGAGAATCCGCCGATCTTTGGGAGGATCAACAAGCTCCCACGTCTTGTTTTGGTTAAGCGAGTTCGCTTCTTCAAGCATTGCTCGTTCCCATTCGAGCCAGCTTGCATCGTTCTTCGCTTGATGCAGAGTCTTTGGCTCAAAAGGTTCTGTTTCCTTTGCAGCTACTGTTAAGAATGTTGGGATGACGTTCTCTTCAGGTATATTCATTAACGCAAGCTCTTCTTCGCTGTCACTAAAAGTGTCTAGTGTGACGTGCGGAGCGCGAATTTTGAGTTCAGGGTGGTGTTCTAGTGTTTCTTGTCGCACTTCATGAACTGGGCGGTCAATTTGGAGTTCTGGAGATCGTTGCCATTCTCCTGAAACTAGACCTTGTTGAGCGTCGTCTTGTTGCTGGTCGCCGCCGGGTGGTGAGTCATTCCTCTGGATGATGTCTTGTAAATCATCTGCAAATGATCCAAAGGTATCATCACTCCGTGTAGGCGACAAGGTCCTGTCTCCCTGTACAGCAACAAATGGCTGCGAGTCATCGTCACTCGATTGAAACGACGCTGGTGTCTGCGAGTCCTCGTCACTCGACTGGGTTAGCACTCGTGAGTTATCGTTACTCGACCGAGGCAGTATGTGCGAGATATCGTTCCTCGACTTAGGTAGGGCTCGCTCTGGTGGTGCCATTGACAACTGGCGCCCAGAGGCGGGCACGGATGCTTGCCGTATGCCTACTGACGGTTGATTTATTAGTCCCACCGTCTTACTCCCCCTGCGGCAGCAGCCGTTGCCTCAGGTGAGCCGTCTCGTCTGGCTCCCACATCTTCTATAGTCTGTGTGGAAGGAGCTGTAAGGACTTCGTGAAATTCAGCGTTTGGGGTCCCAACAATTCTTCCGTCTTGTAGCAGGATACGGTAGTTGGTATTTCCCTCATAGCCTAGTAGAATGCATGGCCTGGTTCTTGGCTCTGTGAGCTTCTTCCTCTGCTTGGGTGGGATCAAGTATTCCCCTTTGGATCCGATCACTCTGAGTCGTGATAGGTCCGGCTTGTCGCCATACCAGGCTTGATACGGAGTCATGTTGAGCTTTGATGACGGCGACCGGTTGGAGAGGAAGGCTGCGGTTCGAGCAATTTCTGGCCAGAATTTAGGTGGCAGCCTCGCATGTGCTAGCGTGGGTCCAACCCGATCATAAATTGTCTTATGGGCTCTCTCGGCAACCCCATTCTGCTGGTGTTGATCAACGCCTGTGACCTCGGCATGGATTGCCCGTGAGAACAGTATGAACTTCATCTCTTCTCCCACTTGCTCAGGGATCCGGTCGAGGCGTATTCGTCTACACTTCCGTTCAGGGCGTTCGTTATGATCGAGGAAGAAACGTAGTGACTCTATGACAAATTCTTGTCGTCGTGGTATAGGGACAATCTCTATCCAGCCCGTGAAGTCGTCGACGACGGTGAGCCAATAGCGACTGCCGTCAAGGCCCTCGTCAAATGGCCCTGCGACATCAATATGGAGAAGTTCCATTGCATATTCCCCTCGTCTGCTTCGTCCCGAGCGGTTGTGGGGCTTTTCAATCATTCGTCCCTGGAGGCATGGGTTGCATGGTTGACGTGGTTCCATGTCCCGGATGCCGAAGGCCTGCTTCTTAAGCCGATGTAGGTTCGCATCGCCCAGGTGGGCCAGCCGATTATGCCAAAGAGCCATTTGTGGACCGACATGGTAGGAGGGAAAGGTGAGATTCGTCCATATATCAAGTGCGTAGACTCCATGATATTGGCTGGCAGTGTATAGGTTCTTTCCGTTTGACTTGTTGCGAATACTAGCACTTTGGCTTGAGAACTCGACTTTTGCTCCTCGTTTGAGAAGCTGGAGCACCGATATGAGGTTTGCATGTGCAGATGGGACGTAGAGGACATTGTCAAGCACAAGCCATTTCCTTCTGCCTCGTACATTGCAAAGAATATTGACTGTCCCCACTCCCGAGGGAGTCGTTGAGGTATCGACGCTTCTCAGTGGTGGTCCATGGTACTTGTCCATCTTTACAAATCTCGAGGCGTTATTGCAGACGTGCTGAGCACATCCACTATCGACGATCCACGCGTCACGGATCGACAGGGTTTTTGTAGCCATCATTGTGGGGAAGTGGTCAAACAGGGCGAGGTTGCCTTCAACATCTTTCCCGAATGCTTTATTAACATCTTCTCCGGAGACCTTTGTGGCCATAAAAGTGGGCTTCTTTGGATCCCTTGGGCCACCGACATCATCGTCTTCGTCATCCGTGGAGGGCCGCCGCTTCAATGGCTTGCGTGCGCCTGTATGTGAATTGCCTGGCTTTGACTTGTGGCTCTTTCCGTCTTTCTTCTGATCCTTCGGTCTTGGATTCTTGCTGAAGCACTCAGAGTCCACGTGATAAGGTTTCCGGCAGAAAGAGCAATATGGGACGTTATCGATCTCGATTCGACATGTCGTTCCGTCGGATGACGGTATGACTTTCTTGTCACCTGGCCCTCGGATTATAGCGAGAGCAGGAAGCCCTTGCGCCTCTGTTGGTTGTTTGCTCAATTGCCCCTTCCTATGTTCTTCCTCAATTGCCTTGTTCTCGATATAGTCGAACGTGGGCGCCGCTTTTGTGATGTTACCATTGGCATCTCTTTCGTTAACAAGGTCCATTTGCCGAAATATATGATCACGGAAACTTTCATACTCAGGACCTAATGCGTGCACGAAAAAGAATGTTCGCTCAATCTCGGAGCTCACGCAGTCAGGGTCAAGGAGAAGTTTCTCAGCATGGATCTTCCTGATCTCGGCTCCGAGGGCTTGAGCGCTTCCACATTTCTCTCTTGTGAGGGACATGTACCGTCGCTGGAGGTTAACGTATGTGCCAGTGCCTTCTGGTTTGAAGTTGTCTTTAACTGCCTTTAAGAGTGCGTGGACTCGAGAGATCTCAAAGGCGCTGATCCTTTGTGCCGCATTGTGTGTCAGCTTTGCCGTGATCATCGCAGAGTAGAACTTTTGGCGATGAGTCCATTGCCGTGCTTCCTCTTCCTCTATCGGTGGAGTCGTTCCATCGTCGGCAACGGCGGATATCCGAATGAACTCATTGACTTTCTGATTCCACTTAAACCAGTCACTGGCATTATCAAGTATTGGAATGCCATTGTAGAATGCATTTAATCCAAACTGCTCAAATTTCGCGATGTCAGTCATGGTGTAAGTGGGCGCTCCTCTGAACTGAAGAATTCTGGACTTGGTCTGTCGTTGGGCAGACTGGAAGTAACGGAGGAATCGTGGTCTGAGGGGCTGAGGGAACGCGCTTCTAAACCAAAGAGTTCTAAACTTGATGCGGCACTGGGCAGACTTGAGACGACGGAAGGACTTCGGTCAGATGGATCTGGCGAAGGTGATTGGGTTGGAGGAAGGTAGTCCGTGTCTGGTGCCCCGTCCAAATCCAAGTGTTTTCTATACGACTTGAAGAAGTGGGGAAAGCGAAGCCGGTCGACAGGGTGTCGTGACAGACTCTCGAGGAAGCTTTGACACCTTTTTGGTCGAAGATTGTATCGGTTTATCCTGTCAACTGGCGCAAGAACTCGGTCGTCCTCCTCACGCCTTAACATAGAGGATCCGTGAGCTCCAACGTTGTCTTTAGGCTGGGGCACAGGATGAGGATGCGTGGAACTTTCAGTAGTATCGATGGGTATCGGAATATAAAGATGACAAGATCCAAGGGCGGAGCACGTTAAGTTAGTGTTAGAGGCCCTGTGACGCTTTGAAACAATTGACGCTCGATTTTTGCGTTCTTCAGCAGATAGACGGGAGTAGGCTTTGCGGACAGCGCCAAGGGATAGCGATGGGAAAAATGATTTTCGAATTTGTTGGGGACTCCAATGATGAATCTGCCGGAAGTGTGAAAGTAGATTGAGTTCTCTGTCTGTCCAACTATGTCTATATGGTCTCTTCTGATACCGAGGTGGTGCTCTCTTTTGATGTAGAGACGACATTTGAGAGGCATATTCTGGAACTGGCTGCGGGAACCATATAGCTTGCCTAAATTCAATTCCTCGTATTGAAATGCGCTTTTCGTTATGGTGACGAATCACAGATATCGGCATTATCTCTGAGACAACCGTGATATCTGTCACACTGTGATCACAGCAACAAATCAGGTGTCGGCATTATCTCTCGAACATCGTGGTATCCGTCACACCGTGATCACAATCACGAATCACAGTTGTCAGCGTTATCTTTGTAACACTATAGTGTCTGTCACATGTGATATTGTGATTTCCGGAAGGAGGGAATTCATTTCATTCTTCGAGGGTCTTCATGCTCCTTTCAGCATGTCCGCAGTTCCTTGACGGTGTTAATCAATCGATTCACTTGATAGACCTATCATTTCAAGTGGAGACTTAGCCTTTAAATGAAGTTCTCAAGTGTTGTGTGAGCAACCCGGGCTCATAACCTGTTAAGATAAGTGATAGTAAGGTTGATTCTTATTCACTTATTTACAGAAGAGGGGTAGCCCGTCTTTATATCTCCGACCCTAATCCCATCCATAAGCTTAGCCGCAGTGATATTCAACACGTCCCATCAACCACTTGTCCCCTCGACCACTTGTCCACTTCTCCGACCGGGCAGTTTTGCTTTTCCCCTCTTGACCAATTGTCCCCCCGACCACTTGTCCACTTCTCCGACCGGGCAGTTTTGCTTTTCCCCTCTTGACCAATTGTTCCCTTGACCACTTGTCCCCTCGACTACTCGTCCGTTCGTCCACTTATTCACGCTTCACTGCGACCTCCCTTTCAACTACTCTACCATTCGGCCTTTTGACCGCCTTTTTCGTACGCGTGCTGCCTGAAGCTGACGAGAAATGTCCTTCGTTGATCCATCTGCACAAACTTTTGCCTCTTTGTTCGACCTCGTCAAGTCGGAGCGAAATCAGTATGCGATTGAACCCAAGCATCAACCATCGAAATCTCAAGTTCAATGTTTTGGACGTAACTGTGCGCTTTTGAAAGAACAACCTGACCCTGCCACCAAAGGTCGTACTTCTAGAGAACGGGATGAAAAAGCGCGGGCTAACGTTCGGGAAATGATCAAAAGGTTTCCGTCCGATCTTTTGGTTCTGTCCCTGCTCAAAATTCCCAAGACGAAGTTATCCAACCTTCAAGATAAATGGATTGGTAAAATTATGGAGTGGTGGGCTGGTGAAGATAAACCAGAAAACCTGAGCAAAGTTGCGTTGGCCCTGTGTCAACATTTCAAACTTATATATCGCAGACAAGGTATATATCACCAGCATGAAAGCCACAATAACAGTGTTCAATTGAGCCAGACCATCCGTCAGTTTGCAGAAGTGGTAAACATGAGTTAAAACTAACTGTACATAGAGGAAGGCAACTCGGGTGTACCCTCAGATCAACCGATTCAAACAATCGTCTCACTTGAACGAGACGAATTCCTACACATCCTCGATTCTTGTGAAACAACTTCTGAGGTGGACACACTTGATCAGAGTGTGGACTACGATATCCGCGCTCTAGCTCCAATTCTTCGACGAGCAGGCAACTCCCCCAATGTGAAGATGATTTGTCCTTGGTATGGTGGACCCAGCGTGGAGGTCACTTTAAAAATCGATGTGTCTTTGGCTTTTGGCGAACGGCTTGTGCGCTATAGAGTCGCTCATGCACCGGGGCAGACTGGTCTGAAAAACCAAACCGATGGTTTCCCATAGAATCGAAAATTTTGGCCCTTCTCCAGCCAAGCAATGGAGAAATTCTCGTCAAATTGGGGCCCCGTCATCACTGTCAAAACGCAATTCCCTGATTGTTCATGGATCTGAATTCTACCGCCTCTTCCATGTTCCTTGACCAAAAGAGCGGAAGCCACAGGCCAGGAAATGCTTTCCAATTCCGTGATAGTTGCTTCCTGCTCGTCGAATGTGACTGACTCGCCGATCTTGGCCTCCACTGATTTCTGAAGCGCTTCTTTATCGAAATTTTCGATCTTAAAATTCTCCAACACCATTTTTTGACTTGACACCTGGCTTGACATCTCGGCGAGTAAACGGAGGAAGGATTCGGCGAAAGAGGGGATAGGATAGGCAACGAGAAATAATTGTGGTCCTGTCAGACAAATTGGCATATGTCAAGTTGATCGGGAAGAAGATATGAAACTTACCTAAGAATGGTCTTTGATCATGATATCATACAATGCTCGCTATCTATTTGAAGCAAAGGAGGTTGTTATGTTGTGTCCAAGAAGATGTCAGGCGACTGAGTTGCCCCTCGTTTTTGCTTTGCCCCACCCTGCGTTGTTGGGCAGATAGCTTTGTCATCCTCCATATGGTCATTTTTCTTGCTGCTATGTGAAGTTATTTCAATTTTATGGTGCATAGTGTTATATGTTTTGTCCTGAATTCAGATGTCGCTTAGCTATTTATCCTTTACTGACCACTTGGCCACTGAGCGATCGTACATGTCTACTTGACCGCTTGGCCACTTGACCACTTGACCACTTGACCACTTGACCACACCCGTTTGACAACGACGTCCACGGCATGTGTAATATAATGTAAATATACAGAGCTAGTGAAAGAAACTATTGGGGCGACAGGCGAGATTGACGTTGCGATGGCAAATCCAGAGCAGATTCCATGATGGTTCCATTAACCAGGTGGAAATTGAGGCAACATTTGCTTATCGATTGCTGGAACCATAACAGCAAAATCCGACATTTGAAACTAAATATACAAGAATTGCTGTAACTTAATGTATGAAGGTCTACTGATTGAATATTCAAAGGTCATCATGGTCATAGCCTCTCGATATCAAGGCGCGCAAAGATCGCCATGATGGCAGTATAATCTCTAAATTCTAGACCTCTCTTGTGAATCGTATAATCCTGTCTCAAAACTTCGCTTTGGCCTCCCTTCGCAAAAAGCAATCTTCTGATCTGCCCGGCCCCACATCACAAGCAAGATGGTGGAGCCAGCGTAGATTTGGACAACTGTAACTAATGATGACGGTCGGGGTAATCTATGAGACACTGGTGCCATTCAGGGGTGTATAATCTTGCATATCTATACGGTCTCGACGTCGCGGATCCTTCAATTGAGCGCCGTGCTATTTCTAAAGTGTCCCTACGAAGTCCCATATCTTTTCTGTCTCAACACCAAAATCTCGTGCAAATATGGGTATATCAAATACCCTCTGGTCTCGTTTTATCGAACTCCTTGGATGCTGCAGGGCGAGGAAGCAGTCACAGGAAGGCCTTCAAGGTTTGGATGCTTCTTTGATAAGTTGGACTGCAACATAATAACCATTGATCCAGAAGTGGTGTATCAGTGTTCGGCGCCGCATCGTGGATATTTCGTCGAATTGATATCTGCAAGAAAACTTGACGAGCTTGCAGTGAGTGTCCCGGAACTATTGCATTCAGCCATCTTTCAATCCATGGCTCTAACGGATAAAAAATAGAAACAGACGTCTAGTTCGGACTTCGATTACGGTAATCTGCGCATACTTGAACAACTGGTAGATAGCAGAAGTACCAATGTTTACCACATGCAGCGCGAAATCAGGAGTGTGGTGAAGATCCCGAATACGGAGTATCATATCCAGCAATTGCGGTTTGAGCACTACTGGTTCTCACAGACAGAGCTGATGAAATCTTCCATTGGACGTAATCTCCTGCAAGCCGATGCCTACAAAGGAGTTAGCGAGCCCTTGCCTGAAAATCACGCTTTCAATTCTTCCTGATCAGCCGAGCTTCTCCATACCCTAGATAGTGCCATCATGCAGTTAATCTGAATTATATGGCCGACGAATCAGAGCGGCCGTAAACTAGAACCCATGTTGGAAGGATAATTAAGCCAAGGCCACAGTCGGTCGAGGCTGAAGGCTTTGGTATTGTAATCTTGGTTAAATCCTTGTAAGAGCGCTACTTGCGCCCCCACCGCTAGTTCTATTCAGCAATTGCATCTAGTAGTCTTTGGATCTGTGGGGATGCATTGGCGAGTCGGTCCTCACCTATAAAGTCTAAGCTTCGTCGAACTGACAGCCTTCTGTTTCCTGTTCGGAGCAAACTAGCTTCATTTATTAGCTTCTATTCACTTTGCTCCAAGATGTCTGAGGTGGAAAGGCGGCTCGCCATCTTGATGCAGGCTCTTGTAAAAACGCGCTTGAATTATATCTGTCCGCGATGCTTTAAGCTCTTTTCAGATCCAAACGCTTGCTACCGTCATTGTCGGAAGGAAGGGGAAGGAGATGAAGGCGAAGGGAATGGGGACAGTATCCACGAAGGTCTTGGTCTGATCACGAAGGCTTATTTTCCGGAATTCCTTCGATGCTACCGGGTTGCTATTGGGTTTCAGATAAATGAAAGTGCTCTTCCCTTGGGAGGCGGTCCAGGACGCCGCTCTTACGAGGAATGTTTCTCTGTTGAGTTTGTACTTGACAATTGTGGTGAGTCTTTTCACCCAAACGCAAGCCCTATGTGTTGAGACTGACGATAAAACAGTTGCAAAAAGAGAAATAATCGACGCAATGCGGTTGGCCGTGATTAAGATCTAAATCAACACCCCATTGGGTGAGATAAAGTCATGGTAGTGTGTTGCAGAGCAAACTGGTCGACCGACGGCAATCTTTGACAGGTGGGGATCAGGAGAAGCGCAAAAGAAGTGGAAGTGGCAAAAAGCCAGTTAAAAGCCTGGTATAAGATTCAATGATTGAAGTTGGATTGGACAGGCAATTGTATATATACCTGTCTTTATTATTTCCCATTGACTAGTATGATACGGATAGGCCAACAGATGGTCAAAACTAGGTATACAAGACCCCGTCGCCTATGATCACGTGCCGTTCTAATAGTCCCCTCAATCTTTCCTTGAAGTTTGCCAACGTATCCGGTTCACACATTTTCGTGTAGCTGAGGTAAATAGATTGGCACACTGCGTCAAATTGCTCGTCAGGGTCGGCGAAGAATTGAAGAAGCCTCTGGGGTAGAGGCACCATTTTCGAGCTAAAATGCCAGGCGAGGAGGGAAAGCATAGCCAAATCACGAACAGCGAGTTCACCTGCCACACGGTGGGCATAGTTCCTCAGCAGTCTGTTCTTGGCCAAGGCTCTGCGTTTTCCCCAGGGCAAGTAGCGATACTTTCTGAGTGCCTGGCAGGAGGATATCAAGAATGTGGTCCTGTCATTGAGCTTGTGCTGGCGTTTGACTGGACGATGGAGTCTTGAGATAGCTCCGTCGGAAAGCTAGCGACCCATCTGCAGTCATAAAAACAACCTGGGATTGCCAGAGCGCATAGCGTGCGAAGTCTTGCGTGATATACGGAATAAAGTCCGGGAATTCCTACAGGATTACATCGCCAATCTTGAATAAACTGCTCGTCCGTGAAAGTCGAAACGTTCAGAGATATGAGTCTAAGCAATATCGTGGTCTTATGGCAATATACAGAAAAATGAGATCCGCGGCAGCAAGAGTACCTAATCGAGAGACGGACGGCGCGGCTAGGGAGCCATTGATAATGGAAGGTAACAGCCTCCTTCTGATCATCCCGCACACCGGGAATAACGGTGGTCAATTGTTGATTCGGAGTGACGCCAAAAGAAACGACCGAATGACGCTTGGGGGCAATCAAGTTGGAATGACAGAACTACAAGATGAAGTTTGCGGACACGCATCAGGCACTGCATAATACTGCTTGACCGTAAGAAAAATTAGACTCAGATTTCTCTCAATAAGTCCTTCAGCTCCGAACCCCTTTGAGCATTAGATAAATCTGGTAGAAATGTTTCCATTGTCGAGGTATCCGATTAAAAACATTTCGATGTTCTCGAATATTCTCCGGTATCTGCTGTATTTATTATCCCCGGAAGGTGAGGCCGTCAAGTTTCCCGAGGAACTCTCTATTAATTTCTAAGACTTTCAGATGCTCACGACTGCCTAAAGCTCTCTTGACACCAGCACTGCGGACACTGAAAATTGTATTTGTCATGCCAACGTCTGACCACATGCTTCCACATTTCAGGATTGAGCCCCATTTCCAAGTACTTGCCATTGTAGTCATCCCAGTACTGTGTTCGCCGTGTGCGATGCCTTAGGCAGTCGCAACAAAGGCCCATATTTGTTTCAAGCCGGCCGGAACCGTCACGAGGTGCTATCCGCCTGAGGAGGGAAAATATATCAGCACAGGTTGATGGTGGGAGATATCTGTGCTTGGCTACTGATGGTATTCGAATTCGGACAAGCGATGAAACCTGTAGCAGGTGCTTACAAGTCAACGCAAGACACATTCGATCCAAAGGTTCACATTTATTGAAGATATAAACGATTAATTCGGGAGGTAAGCCAAGTAGTTCGCAGGTGATTTGTGGTTCTGCCACGAAGATCTGAGACGGATTAGATAGTTAGATAGTGAAGGAATGTCAGAGGTTTGAATGGGTCCAGAAGTGCTCACATTGGATGGCTGCTTAAAACGGCATCGACAGGAATGATAGGATTTGGGTAATGCTGACATCGAAGCGTTATGGTAGGCAAAATTTCTTGCAGCTTAGGGGTGTTAACTTGATAATGAAGACAAGCGTTCTACGGAGAATGTCAACTGCCACAATTTTTCAATCCAAGGGGCGTCAACACTGCGTTCCCGACTGTGTTGCTAGGGCAACCCCTTAGCGAGCCATCACAGGAAAGTTCGAGCCTACCGCCTTAGTGTGAACGGAAATGGTC